AGTTAATCATTGGTCTTTGTAATTGAAATTCGTAATACCATTTCAAAAATGACATTACATATTATTTCTACTTTCTCTAGCTAATGTTTGAGAATAAACCTAACACTTTTTAACATAATTGTTCGACTCTCTTATAGTAGATATATACAGATTTACAAAATACCAAATTAAATACCAGGTTTCACTGAAATCCATGGCATTGTATTAAGTAAGTTGTGGCCACACGGAGGATGGCACTTTCGTCACGTTCGGTGCGCGGACGCACACGAACGATTGAGTCATTGTGTTGTACAGAGTTCGTAGTAATCGTGTCAGTGCGGCCGTCGCGGAATAGAATCAAGGCTACGCGATATGGATCGTTGCAGCGTAAAACACCTGAGTCTGCTATATTTGAGAAGTTTTAACTGCTCTCGGGCACGGGGGGGGGGGGATTGTTAGTGATGAGATTTAAAAGCTACATTGCTAGCAATACACTATTTCAGGTCGGCCTTCACCCGGTTCTTGCTGGAAACCATCATCGTTAATTTTTGTTGTATATATCACAACGAGCTATATGACTTGCTTTCATCCTTCCTTGGTTGGTGTCCCACTAGCATATACTGATAGCACAGGCGGGGTTACCATTTCATTAGCATAATTTAAAAAAGCTCTTGCTAAGGATGGTACAATAATAATAGATGCCACAGAATCACATCAATCGTCTGGTTTTCAAGCTAGCATGTCATGTGTTCTGAAACAGATGACGAGCATTTGGGGGTACAACCAGACACCCAGATCCGAGCCAATTTAGAGAAAATCGTTTCCTAAATTAGCCAGACTGAGATTTAAACTCGGGACCTTATTTATGCAGAGAATTGTAGCTACTACTATACTCCAAAAGTCGTTGTACGTATGAAGGAGGTATAGCTAATAAAAATTCTCCACAATAAAATAATTAGTATACCCATTATTTAAATGGATAAAAATGTAATAGTAGTTTGTAAAGTGTGCTTAAACTAATAAAGTAAGCGGGAGATAACTGAAGTAGAAATTAGGAGAGTCGAATTCATCAGGTAATTTCTGATGAATTCGTACGGTGGGTTTCAGGGTTCCCCGTGGAAATTGGTCTAACTGGGTATTTTGCTAGCAATGGGATGCTAGACTTAATTATTAACATCGCTCTTCTATAGACAATAAACATGCAGTCCATTCTAATATCATGTAATATCCAATCGATACGGAGTCGAAAATGGAATCTGCATAACGCCTCCTGCAATTACGGACGGTTGGACGTGTTGTCTCGTTTTGTATTCAAAATCTATTTTGGGCGCTATTATTGAAGATTTAGGCTTAATCATTTATACCTAATCGTTCTAATACAAAACTAGATAGTGAGAAGATATATAACAACATTTGTTGGTTCAACAAGGTTCGTGAGTGGCGACCTTGTACGCAGTGCAGGACGACCGCCCCACTAAATGGAGTGACGACCTGAAATGCATTGCAGGAAGTCAATGGATGCAGGTGGCTCAGAACCGTTCCTTATGGCAGTCTATGGGGGAGGCTTATGTTCAGCAGTGAATGGCTGGTATGATGATTATTTACAACATTTATTAAATTTAACAATTAATATAAACATACCACTTTTACTAATGATACTCGTAATAAAATACCTTACCTCTTAATCTGGACTAAAAATAAAGTACTTTTATGGTTTAATCCAATATCATAAGGGGAAAGGATTGTTAGTAATGAGAACTATCAGTCACATTGCTAGCCTGATACGGTATATTGTATCAGGTTGACCTCCACGTGATTCCCCCTAGAAATCGTAGTGATTAACTCTTTGTGAAATTCATCACGATGGGCCAACTGGCCTATTTATGTTCACTTTTCATCACTCATTATTGCTGCGCCAGTATATATCGATAGTGCAGGCGGGATTACCATTTATCATCCATTAAAAAAAAGATCTCGTAGTGGTCGATCAATTATTATATACATCCTATATTTTATAATAAATGTGAATGCATTTATTTGTTTGTTATCATCAACTACATACATATAAACATAGATATAAATAGAAATTATAATCTGAAATAAAGAAATTGTTATTATTTAGTGCAACAGAATGTGCAATGTGCTAAACTAGTCGATTCATTTCAGTGCAAATGTCTGACTTTGTCGCTGTGCGCTGTGGCCTCACTGTTAATATTTGAAATATGTAGGCAGAGAGGGTATTTATAGATATTTTCGGTTAGAATCCGGGTGGCGGCCGAGGGTCCCAAGATTTATGGCAGAGCGGGAGAGTCCCATCCAACAGGGCTCTAAGTAAGTGTCCCAATATTCAAGCTGAGGCGAGAATGGAACGGTTTTAATTAGATATTTTTTATATGAAGACGAGAGAATTAAAAGTATTTTATAAGTAAATATTTTTAATGGATTAATTTATGAAAATGAAGTTATATCTACTTATTTATCTTGATAAAAACATAAATTTATTAAAATGTTGAGTTGAAAAAGGAAATTATTAATAAATGATAAATAATCCACACATAAAAAGAAGCAACATATTCAATGCAATTAAATAAAGGGCAATTAAATTTTAAAATTTAATGCAGTTAAAATTTAATAGTGGCACTTCGGATCTGGTTTGATCCCTGTACGAATGATTTATGTAGATATAGAAAAGAATATAATATTACACATACGTTGCTCATGTAATTGCAGCATCCAATACGGATGGATTTATTGAAAATTTACAGAAAAGTGTATTAAGGTATCCCGCGTAAGTAAACTTGCAGGGTTTTATTTATTTATTCAAGTTTCTTGAGTGAGAGATAAAACAAACCGAGACTTATATATTCTATATCAATAGGATATAAAACCTTACATACAATATATAAGTATTAATTTTTCCATTAAATTCCATAACTCGACTTATGCATACTCACGATTTCGAAGACTCTTAAGATCTTTTTCAAATAGCACGCGTAGTTTAAAACGAAACTGTTTATTAGTCAATAATTGAACTCGCAATAGTGTTTTAGTAATTTTTTTTGTCTACAACCTGTTAAAAATAGTTTTCCTTAATAAAAAGTAAAATTATGTATTGTCGTTATTTATAGATGGAAAATTCATATATTCCAAATCATTCCATATCTTGTAAACTTAGATACAGCATGTGAGGCTCCTCGTATAGAGGTTACAATCTTTTAGCCCCAACATGACCACCATGTATTTACGAAAAGGATGCGTTATCAGTTATTTCGCCTCCGGCCCTAACTTAGTCCACGAGCCAATCTCGAACTCCTCACACCCTCTCTGGGTAAGGGCAACTCATTTCATCGTTCAGTACTATCTACGTTCCAAGATATTTTTCTTTGTAATGCTATTGCCAAAAGAAATTGCCTATAGGTAGTAAAATGAACTAGGTAAATTGGCAAAGTGAATTTCTTCGTTACATTAATTGTTTATAACAAAACAATCGAAATTTTCGTTCTCACGTCTATTGTTACAAATAAGGATAGGTTAGTCAAAGTTACCATAATTGACCATTAACCATGATTCGTTCTAACCAAGTTGATTAAGTGATTCCGGTACAGATGTTCTAATATATTTTTTAAATATGTTTATATGTTTTAAGTCGTAAAGCAGATATAATAATGAGTTTATTTCATGCCCACAAATTACAGTATACGCACAGATTATTTACTTTTATACAAAATATAAGTATCGTAATTTGTGGGGGTATCTGGAGCCTGAAGTAAACCCTAACCTGTATCTTGGATACCAGGTCCTCCTCAATAAAGTAGTGATCATCCAAAAGTAAAAGATAGTTGCGTGAAGTAAAAATAAATATGGCTTAATATTAATATAAAGAGGTGCGTGTGTGAGTGCGCACGAGTGTGTGTGCGTGAGTGTATGTGTGTGTGCGAGTGTGTGTGCGCGTGCGTGCATGTGTGTGTGTATGTTTATTCTAGTATATTTTATTACATACAATATCAACTCAGTGTTAAGAAAAATAATAAGGAATATCTTTTACTCGTAAATATACAGCTTGTAAATTACTTACACTATTATAAAAATACGTAACATTTTTTCGTTGATAGGCAATAGATAAAAATACCTCTAAATGTAATTTGACTGAAAATTAAAGAGTACCGCTTTTGTTTACTCTTACATCAAAGTCATCTATTGATTATTATTTTATGAAATTGAATAACATGTTTCACCGCCGTAAATTTATTTTTAGTAGCCTTTTCATCCTAAATCTGAAAATAGTATTGGGGGGCGATCACTCGCCATCTATTCGTGAACTAATAAAGCTATTTTGGCTGTTCCAATACACCGATGGTGTACTAAACCGAAAATAAAATACTGATTAGACAAGACAACGTAAATATTGATGATGATACTGATGTTACCAATACAGGACATATAAGAGGAAGTGATATTTACGAATAATATTATTATATTTTTAGTATTAATGTACTTAACATGTACAATATATTGAATATTTAATGTTAGTAATATAATGTGAAAATTATAAAAAATATTATATATTTATTTAATACAGAAATCCACAGCTCTTAAAAAATACTAACCTACATACATCTCTTATAAATACAACAATAATTAATTTTAATTATATAAACGAAAATTATAAGTCTAAAACAAGTTAGACAAGTAAGAGTGGGGGTGGAACATACGCAATGTTAAATAGAATAGCTAAGAAATTAAAAATTGCAATATATTTGATAATAGATTACCCCGCGACTCCACAGAAGACGTCTTTGAAGATAATATTATATTTATATGTACATAAATATATTGTAAAGTCAGGTTTGCTTTCACTCGAAAGTAATTACTTAAAAAACAGTACATTTATCTATTTATAATAGGAAAACTAGACTTATACCAATAAAAATATTAACAAGATGACAATAATAAAGACTAATAGATTTTTACTGACTGACATAGAGTATTTACATAATTTTACACTGCTTTTCTTCTTTCAGATGTAGGAAATTTGTCAGAACAGAAGCAGGTAGCGATCAATGGTCTTATATTAATCTAAAAGAAAAAACGTTGGTAAGTTTATTTTAAAATATGCCATCTTTCTTGTTGGATATATTTTCTAATACCTCGGGAACAAATTTTCGCTAAATATAACGTCTGAATAATTCTTCTATACCCAATCGAGTTTTTTCCAATACTTTTATATTTTTCCTTAATGTTAATTTTTATTGTCTATCCTTATTTCATTGTGTGATATTTAAGATTTTTAATTTTAATTGTGTACATTGGATGTACATAATATAAATACATACACGTATATATGTATACAGAAATACACACGTCGTTCCGCCGTCTAGACTCGTGGTAAATCCTGGCGGACCCTATTCGATACGAGGCGATCTCCCCGAGGTAAATAAATTAATCCAAATCGATTTATTTTTAGATAACGTTGAGTAATTGGGTATAGAATTTGTTTTAGGACGAAAATTACATTATTTTCGTGTAATGCAATGTAATCAATGTTTTTTTTAAAAGGTTAATAAGGAACAATTTAAAAATACATGCGGATCAAAGGACGGGGGCACATTAATCTGAATAAATACATTTTAAGGGTTTTGCACCAAAAAGGTACAAAGGATTCCTTATGGTGCAACTTTGTCCGTCCGACCACCCGTCACAGTTCCTCTGTCACTGTCTGTCTGTCTGTTATAATATATCTCAGCAACTACTATCGATTTGAAATTTGGGATAGTTTTATATATCATTAGTCTGCATGTATTGTAATAGAAATAAAAAAAAATTTTTCTTTGCTACGGAATCTAAACCGGATAGTGAATATTTAAAAATTGACCTGCAAGTTCTGTTGATAATTGTCGTTTGTTGATATCTGTTGATATCATATGAAATAGTTTCATTTGTATATTATAAAAATGTTTTGATGGCTGCTTCTAGTCCGTTAGTTGTCGACATTTTTTATTTTGATGTTAAAATAGTATTAGGAAATTGCAAAAACAAAGCATGTCACTTTTACATCAATAAATTACCGTGCGATTTCAGGGTAGAATGGCTCACCTCTCCCCTTCCCGTGGGTGTCGTAAGAGGCGACTAAGGGAACTGTATGGTAGAGGAATAGGTAGTAGCGTCTCTCTTTAAATATCACTAACTAAAGCCTAACTGCGGTTGTCAACTTGCCTGCCAAGTGTGTCTATTACTGGCAAAATCTTTCAATAGGAGGAAGCCTATGTTCAACGACTGACATGGCACGGACCCTTCGCTGTATGGGCTCAGCTCGCACCAGACTGATTTTTTTATATTAGCTACGTATATTAAAAAAAGTTAATATTTAATAAGTCGAATAAAAGCAATAAATTAGTACAAGATTTATATTCTCTATGGAAATAAAAGTTATCAAAGTCACTAAAGTTGTTTGATTTATAATTTAACAAATATGAAAACTCAAGCAAGTCAATGGAATTTGAGACAAATATTAAATGCTGTTAGTTGTTAAGTACATCACTTGAGAACAGCTGGATAGATTTGGTAAGTTTTTTAACTATTTTATTTCAATTTACTGTTTATTAACTATTCTAAATTTGATTGATTTAGGATAAAAACAAAAATGGTATTTAAAGAGATCAGGGTCAAAGACAGTTATTCGAAATAATAATGCCTTAAAAGTTGCGCAATGCAGGATACGTAGTAAGCGAAATATTGCAGATGCATATAATTTGCTAGCGATTCGCTCCGGCTACGCACGGTTAGATAGATAGAAAGATAAATTAATATTTTATATCAACAATTTTCAAATCGACACAAATTAGGCTTTAGGTTACTGTATTTTTTGTAGTAGGAATTTCTCTTTTTTTTAAATAATATATAGCCTATGTCACTCGCCGATAATGTAGCTTTCTACAGGAGAAAGAATTTTTATAATCGATTGAGTAGTTTTTGAGTTTATCTTTTAGAAACAAACAAATGTACAAAAAATCATATCTTTTTAATTTATACGAGTAATTTTTTTATATTTATAAGTAAGTATAGATTTATAAGTAAGTATAGATTTTAAATGCTACTTACCTTTTCACCCTGGAAAGGGATTGTTAGTAATGGAGACTGAGAATCCTATTGCTAGCAATATACCCAACCAGGTTGACCTCCTCGCGGTTCCCCTGGAAACTATCATGATTAATTCCTGATGAATTCATCATGATGGGTTAACTGGCCTGTTTTTATTCTCATCTATCACCCTTCACTGGTGCTCCGCCAGCGTATCCCGTTAGCTCAGGCGGGGTTACCACACCCATAAAACCAAATGCTACTTAGAACATAAGCTGACGGCTCACCAGATAGAAAGTGGTAACCGTCCCTTATAAACTAAGTAATACTATATCGCCCATGATATCCTTCATGCGTTGCTATTCCTAAGGGTTAAGGTGTTATGTCTCTGTACCCTGTATTTTTACTATATTATTATATCCCATACGTCAAACCGGAACATAGTCATGCAAATACAACTACTGTAGGCACCAGTCTCATTAAATTGGTCTCACATATTTAATTGTACTTTAAGTTTTTACTACAGTTTTTGTGAATAGAAAATAAACCGTTTATTCATTAAACTGTTTCGCGGCAGAAATACGAATGGGATAGAGGTGCCCAAGCGAACTGTACGTAGATACATCTATGGATACGTAGTTACGTTTAGCTTCTAGAATGGCAATAGGTTATTACGATTTTCATTCATTTAAATTCTCTGAACGTGTTCAATTCATCACAAGGGAGTATTATTTTGTCAAAGTGTAGTATTAAGGGAAACACGAGCAGGCATGCCTGTAGATACCGTTACGGCCGCCTTTTGTCGGAGGATCAGCAAAAAAAGCTTTTCAGAAACGTACCGCCACCCTCGACATCAAGCAAAAAACATATAAAACAGAAAGAAAGGATCACAAATTAGGGATTCGGGATCGGAATGTTGCACCCGTAATGCATAAACGAACATTTAAGTATTCTCTAAATTATAGACTTTGGAAACTTAGTGGAACTTGTTTGTGCTTGGACGACTGTGCAATGATAAAGATACACATACCAGAGGGAGACTTTGTACAAAAGTTGATTGCTTGGGTACCTCTGTCCCATTCGTGTTTCTACCATGAAGCAGTTGTGTTTGCATGGCTGTGTTTGATTTGAAGGGTGGGATATGGCGTGAATTTACAGGGTACAGAGGAGTAACACTCGAGTCCTCAGGAATTTTTTTTTTTTTTTTTTTTTTTTTTATACAACTTAGAATGGCAAACAAGCTGACGGGCCACCTGATGGAAAGTGGTAACCGTCGCCTATAGACATGAGCAGTACCATGGCAACGCATGGGGGGTATCATGGGCAAAACAGTATACTCTGTTATGTCCATGGTACTGCTCATGTCTATAGGCGACGGTTATCACTTTCCATCAGGTGGACTGTCAGCTTCTTTGCCATTCTAAGTTGTATAAAAAAAATACACTTCTATAAAAATTTTGTGTAATTAAAATTATTTTGAAAATATTATTTCATATTATCCATTTAATTTATTACATTTGACTTTTCGACATGACCCGACTGACTGATAAGTATTAATATAATGGGACATAATTGGAGTTGTTTTGAAATCCACCAAACCACATTCTGGAATCCAATAAGAAATAAATAAATAATATGCAGATTAATCAAAACACAGCCTAAATAAGCTTAATGCCATTTTAATTTCTGCACTAAATATTTTTCTTTATTGTTTATATTTTGCCAGTATTTTTTTATATTTTGGACCTAAATGCATTTCTCTAAGACAAATAATAACAACGATATATAAAGTTGAATTAATTGTAAACTAATTTAATGCACCAATAAATTGTTATGTGCTTTAACAGGGTTCATGATTGACTCTTCATAAGAACATTAAATAGTTTATAATGATTGCGTTAAGGAAATATATATATGTAATATTAAAATAAAAAAATATTTAACGCATATTAGATATAACAATTTTACAAAGCGTGAGAAGGTAGGCAATGGTAAAATGTATTTCCTATTTATTCACTCTGCGACCGATACTCGTCTGAGATATTCTTCAATATCAAAATTTATGTTGTAAAAAAATCTTACCTGCTGTTAAATAGCGGAAAGGACGATTGCCACGTGCGACCAGCGCTCATCTGCAGCTTGTATGTCTTCGGCAACGGTTTTGTATAGCTACGGGGGTTCAGCTGTATTCTTGTTTTATGAACATATGTTGATCTATTTATTTTTGTACTAATATTGTTTAACTCATTAGCTTTATTTAAAAATTGTTTCCTGTTAAGCTTGCATGCCTATTCTGTAATGATTGTTTGTTTTTCTTGAATAAGTCTGTTTTGTTTATTTTTTTTTCTATCTGCTTGCGTATTGGTTAGTGTTGTAAGTACTTTTTTTTTTTAATAAATTTTCCTAAATAATTATTGTATATGATTTTTAACATGAAATAAAATAAATTTATATGCGTGTTCATTTAATTAATTCTTTTGTTTTGTCTTTATATTTTATTGCTTAATTTCTTAAAAGGTGTTAACTTTTATAGTAATCTATAAATTTATAGGATTGCATTTTCCCTACACTACTCTGAATAGAAAGTAAGAATATATGTTATGGTAAAATTTTTAATGTTATGAGTTCTATAGGAATATTTTTTATATTGAATGGTATACTACCCGTATAAACTAATATAAAAAATAATATGAAGAAATAATACGAGTACATATTGTAGATTAGCTATATACCTGCTACTTCGAACGCGTAGATATTATAAGTAGGAAAATTAATAAAATGGAACATTTCTAAATGCCATTTTAAGATTAAACATGCCTTTTCTTTTTCTTTACCTTCAGAAACTTAACTTTTGCGTAATGCTGGAACAAACAAACAGAGAGATAAACAGACATACACACAATTATTTTAAAAGTGTTTTTTTTTTGTTTCTATAACTTTTAAAAAAACTTAAATAATTTATCTTAAATATCTTCCATGTGTAGACATCGTCTAGTTGCAATTTTATTATATTAGTAAGGTTATTGTATTGTGAATTTATTACAAAATAATCTCAAACAATAAAGAAATAGTACGCAAAAGTCCAGTCAACCATTAAATCCAACTAGTACAACAAGTTTGAACGGCGTTCCAAACTTCCAAATCTCATTGTTTCCATAAAAGTTTCAATGAACTACTTGTGATAAAAAATGTAAAGACAGCCGCTTAAATAAGCGATGGATAAACAAGCTCCGGGGGTGTCAAGGTAAGCGCAACGGATGCTTGCGACTTACGTGTGGTACAAACTATAGGTAGAAGCGAGGTTATAGATAGAGAGAGAGAGTTAGAGATATAATATGTTTTATTTGCACCACACAGATTAGAGTGAGTATAAGTACAGGGGAAAGTTCTGTTCAATTAGTATAAGGACTCAATAAAGCAAAATAAAGTGTACTTATATTTTACATAAGTTAGTTTGTTTGTTATATCTTGGCAACACATAGTATTGAAAAGGATATAGGCAAGTACTTATCCTGGTCAGTTAATTTATCGCGGTCATATAAAAGAAGTTGTGTGTGAAAATTAAAATCCTTTGTTTTATTTTCTTTTGTTGTGGGAGAGATGAATATTCATTAATACCTTCTGATTAAAAGTAATAATGTCCGATTCATATATGCTAAATAACTCAGTTTTATAAAGTTTAAACTTCTTTGTTATTGTTTGCTCTTTGTTTCTTATTTATTTTTATGGTACTTACATTAGGAGAAGAAAGGGAATACTAAGAATATTTATGGGTAAATTCTGAGAAAGCGCAGGTACATGTTCCCTTCTGGGAAAGTAATTTAGAAATAGTTACGTATTTTAAAATTTCAAATTTTTACAAATACATACATACATATCTGTCACGCCTGTCTCCTGTTAGGGTAGGCAGAAACAATGGAACGCCAAATGCTTCGATTCAAACAAACCTCTTTCGTTGCTCTTTCTTTTCTTTCGTCTTAAAATTTTTACCGAAATTTAAATACTTTAGGTATATAGGTCAGGTTATAAACGTAGAGCGGTTTCTATGCAAAGCCAAATTCCATAATACTTTTTAAAATAAAACGCTGGATTATAAGATATTCCTCACATAATTCAAGTCACACAAAAATGCATAAATGTAGTCAATCCTCTTATATCTAAAACCGCACTCAAACAAATAAAGCGTCACCGGTGTACAAAGCACTGGGCTTGCTCCACCAACAAGTTAATTACCCAGACCTTGTCTATTGTCACAATAAGTATTCATTGACAATGCCATACCCCATGATGGGTGGTGTTCGTCGATAAAATAAGGCATAATGCCATTCTTTCAGTTTTTGTGATTGTTTTTT